AAACTCGCGGAGCTAAGCTACTTGCCACACTGCCTGTTGCCGGTTGCTTCGACTCCCCGACGAATTGCTGCAAGTAGTCTAGTGATCTACATCTGCACATGTTTTCAAGAATCATGCGATGTTCATGGGCGTGAAGAGGCTTGAGGCTGCGGCAATTCGGCCGTGCTTGATCTCCACGGCGCGGCGGCGCTTGAAGGTGGCCTGATCCTTGTCGGCGCTCAGGCCTGACGGGACTACATCGCGAAGTACCGAAAGCAATGCACCGCACTGCCCTACCCAGCCTAGCGGATCCCAGAATCCGATGGGGTCCTGAAGTCAACTATGCCAAAACAATCTAGATCGCAGGGCAATTTTATCCACGGGTCTGTAGCAACAAAGCTAATCGGAAATCCTCGGCAAAGCAGTGTCCTGCACTCCGAGCTCTGTGGCTGGGTCGAAGCTTGCGTAGCTGCTACCGCCGCTGTCACCGAAGAAGTGCCGGACAGTCTGAACAGCGAAATTGATCGTCAGGAGGGCTACGTTGCTACGAAAAGCAAAAACCAAGAAACAGCAAGCAGAGTGCCAGAAGGCGGAGTACGAAAGGAAAGCGGTGCACCACAAGCGGGGAAGACATTCCTGTGTCAAGAAGCTCAAGATGAAGCGGACACAAGTAGACAGCCCGGAGAAGTTCGGTAACAGGGATGGACCTATCACTGCGCTGGTGTTCCTTGGCTTCTGTTGCCGCGCAAAGCACAATGGAGCTCTTTCCAAGCAAGCTTCTAGAACTCGAAGTGACGTGCTTCAATGACGCCGGGAAAGCATGCTTTGGTGGCAATTTCGGGAAAGACATTGCGTAATTCATACATAAATGGAAACGAAAAAAAGGATGACACGGCTCGTTCTTGAAGATACTTGCCCTTTCTCTTATCTGCTGGGCTGGGATACTAGGCCTGAAGCAGCCTCCAAAGAAGTCTCGACAAATCACCAGCCCGATTCCTTTCATGGTGCAAGGCACAAAGCAAACTTCCCGGCCTTGCTATCCTTGTTGGCCTGAGGTAGGAGTAAAGTGGCACCCGAAAACAAGCGCCGCTGCCCTGAGCTCCTGGCCCGTCTCGCAGCGGCCTCGGAAAACAGCACGGCTCTGCGAAGGGCTCTCCGAAGTGTCTCTTTCATAACCGCCTGAACTTGGGCCACGACTAGGACGACCGTTGACGCACAGCCAACGGCTGCACCAGAGGAAAAGTCCTCAGACTGGCGACATACAAAGCAGCAAGGGTGGCAGGCATTCAGAGTGTCTCAGGCCCATGCTGCTCGCTCTCTGCGAGTCTGATGAGACCTGAGAGGAAGTTGCCTCTTTGATTCTTGTGGCATCCCAATGAAGATCAAACTTCGAAGACAGAGCTGTCCACTTCAAGCTAACGAATCTTGCACTGACGCATATTGAAAGCTTCAAAACGCTTTGTGCACACAACCCAAGGGCACTGAAAACCCGCTGATGGCACATTAAAGCTAGATTCAGGAATTCGCTACGACGTAACGAACATACACGATTTGTCTGGACTTCTGACGGTCCAGCATCGAGCATCCCACGGAACAACTTGCCAAAGGATTTTTGCGTTTGGGAGTTGCCTTCGGAAGTAAAAACGGGATGACAGAAGGTCCTTCCCGGAAATCTGAATTCAAGTGCGTGTGGCAAGAATGGGCACGATAATTTGATATGCCTTGCCGGCAATGCAGCGCATTCCCAATTGTTTCTCGTGAACACCCCGCTGAAACTACCACCAGCAGAAAGAGATTTGAGATGAACCTGCTGCTATAGTAGTGATGTGTTTGATTGCCGAACTATGAGCTTTCGTCCCTATATCTATGAGCTTTCGTGAGATACCTGCAAGGAGCTGAAAAAGCTTCAGCCTCTGAAGACAAAGGTTCTTGCCGAGCTCGCAGATAGTATTCACGAGATTTCAGCCTTTGGATTTGAGGTTCTGGGTCAATGCGGCTGCACAAGCGTGGAGTAAAAAGCTGGATGTAGCTGCTGGTGCGGCGATGTGTTCCTAGGCCCGCTGAAAGCTGCAAGTCAATTCGCCCGAAGACCGGGAAACTGAGTCTCTTGCTGGTGCGGAGCTGCTCGTGGTGCAGGATTCGCGGCAGGCGTGACGAAGCCCGGAGCCTCTGCACTGCGGCACGACTTAAAGCACCTGCCAATCATCCTTTTCAAGCTCTCTGTCTCTCGCTCTTTCTGTATCTGTCTTTCTGCTGGGCTTAAGGGTCGTCTACCAGCGAAGAAGCAGGATCCACGAAGCGGTGTCCCACACTTGTGACTGTGACACGTAGTGGCGCTCTCTTCTTCCACACAGTCAAGAGCACGGCAAGGCACCGCACTCTGCGCGCGAGCGCGCACTGTCTGAACGTCTCAGGTAAGACTGCTTTCTCCGATGATGGCCAAGGTCGATGAACAGAAAACCCTCACCCCCTATGACTATGAACCCCCTGGCCTCATCAGGCTCACACCGGATCTGGAACCCCTCTCGCGGCATATTGTTTATGCGCAGCTCTTGGGGTTCAGGGTGGCTCTCGTACCAACACGTCAGGACAGCAGTACAGCAACACATTAGCAGGTAGGACCTACAAAGTAACAGGCATGTTTTCGTGGAGCTCCCCTGTTTAGCAGCACAGTAGCCGCCTTATCCGACGCGGCAGAGAGAAAAAGGACTTCATCGCCTTCCAGCTATACCCCTCACACAGCTTGCAACAGATAGGAGATCACTACTCAAAGTGGCGCTCTCTCTCCCTCTCTCTCTACCAGCTGGGGAGCCCGGGGCGTCCAGCCCCAAGCCCCGGGCTCACTGTCCGTGGGTGTCTTTTGTTTTCCCCTGGGGATTTTCCCTGGAGGGCTCAGCTGTACTGGACGGCCAACTCCCCGCCGTTCAGACAAAGGAAGTATCAAGTAGAAGTGTGCTTCTTTAACCGGGTTCGTTGGCGCTCTCTCGCTCTCTCTGTCTCAGGAGCTCGCAGCAACGAAAGCTCCGGCAGCCAAGGCAGCACCTCAAAGACTTCAGACGCCGCGATATCTAAGGCAACAAACCAACAAACCATCGACGAGCACAGACTCTGATCTAAGCTGGCACACTGCATCCCGCTGCCCCTGCTGCGTCACCTAGGTTCCTGCAACCCTATAAGGCTGACACCGCATGCAGCGCGTCGTCCGGTCATCGGCGAAAAATGCCTGCAGAGTAGAAAAGGCTGATGAGGATTTTAAACAGGTGACGGATTCTCATCTTGGGCTCGGGCAAGTGAGCCGCGCTCTGTGAGAGTCGGGGGGGGCTCGTGTAGTCGGCCCGAAAGCTGCCAAACAGGACTCTTTCAGAGACGTTTCTGCACTTCAGAGGACCGGACGTCTGACCTACAAGTAGCTGAAGCAAACGTCACAAGACATCAAGCCCATCACACCGCGCTTTTCCAGACGTCGTTCGATGTCCAGTATCGAAGGCGATCTCGAGCAGGCAGTGCGACAGACAGGCATACGGGATCAGTGGCTAGAAACTGCGTGAGTAGGACTATCTCAAGCAGAACGCTGCTTGCTCACAAAGCTTGTGGAGGCTTCTGCTCTTCAGAAGCATCGAGTTGCTACGCACAAGAATACGCTGCAGAGTACTGCACAGATGTCGCGGTCTTCGCCATCGTCGACTGTTCTACCTGTCCCATCGGCATGGAGAGCAAATGATGAAGGATGCAGACTTGCCTTCGCTCGACATGCAACAGATGGCAGATGACGAACAAGCACGAATAGCCAAACGCTCATCCTCTAAACGGTTCTAAACACAAAAACCGCTGAAATGCGTGGCATTCAATGCGAAAAACGTGTTCCCTCAACAGCATGCGAGGAGTGGGAGGAAACATAGCAACTGCGCCTTCGGTTCACAGTCTTCCGACCATCGTTCAGTCTCTGTAGCACTCGCTTGCAGATGACGGCGGTCTTAGCAAAATGGATGCTTGAGAGAGTGCCTTCTGCCGAGCGTCAAGTCTCCGAGTTTGCAGTCCCCTAAGCTGATCTGGCGCCTAAGGGGCGGGCGTCGTCCCATGCCTCATCCAGAGTATTCTGCTCATCATTGCTGGAAACCACCTGAACACTCTGCCGCGAGCAAATCTCACAAGAAAGACTATAGTCCCGTGCCTGCCGCTCTTTTCTCAGCGGTATATCTTCCAGCAGAGATTCAGCCTTAAGTTAAGTGAAGCATCAGGCGAAAACTGAAGCAGCACATGAAGTTCCTGTTGCGTGCTGGGTTGCGCTGCGTGGCTGTACACTTCTCAACCCAAGAACCTGTCCGAGCATACTCCTCCTGTTGGTAGGCAGCCGGCTATATCACGAACACCTCGGCGAGCGACGGCTGCCTTCGCCTTCCAGGTGAGTATCGGCCAAGCGAAAGCTCGATAATTTGCATTCCGAGTCTTGGCAAACTTCCCTCAAGTCTTACTGGTGAGTCAGTCCCTCCACACTTAATTAAGTTGGTTCCCAGCCCCTGACAAACACACGGCAGTTTAGATTTTAGGGGTTAGGGACCGCAAGATATCAACACTTCGACGGCCCGTGCCGTCTTTCAGAGAGCGATGACATGACAGATTGTGCGGCTTGCGGCACCGGATGTTTAGCGGTTCTGGCCTCGGTGTCGAATGTCAGCCCATGAAGGCATCGAAGGGAAGCCTCCAGCAAGCGTGGGGCCTGACAAGGAGCGACCACGACCGAGAACGACTTTCACGATCACCAACGAACTACCGAGGACTCTTCTGCGCCTGACAAGGAACCTCAGCATGCAGGGCACATCCAGTTGTACCCTTGTCGCCGTGAGCTTATCGCCAACAGAACAAGAGACACAACGTCTCGACCCTTCGAGGACCGGACTTCGGCACATCTTGCCAAAACATCGACACCTGGCAGCGGACAACCGACACCGGGTCTGATTTACACTGATGAAAGTGCCTCCAGCTGCACATAGTTCTCTGGGTACAGTTCGGCTTAGCCTGATGCCAAGCTTTGCACTCAACATCAACCGGTGCGACTGTCCGAACATGTCCGCATGCCAGAATGGGTGGAGTTTTCTTGGGGTTGCCTTTGCACGTGGCTTTCTATTGGCATGGTATTTTGAGAGCAACTATTGAGGAGATTCAACTGGCGGGTCTTGTGTACAGTAGTTTTTTGGGCGGCCCTATGCAATCTCCATCCACCGTCCTGTGAGACAGAATAACGATAAACATGTATTTGGTGCGGAAATATCTTGCACGCTGGCAGGAGATCCTCGCATCCCTCAACAAACCGCTCCCACTGCGTAGACATACAAGCGCAATGTGACGTGTGACGGGCTTCTATTCACCGAAGTCAGAACAGCTCCAGGTACCGCCATGCCTGGAGTCCAGTGCTGCCACAGACGACATGCCGTGTCCAGCTCCAGTCAGTTGCCAGTAGAGTGCCAAAGCTGCTTCATGCTTGAGCGCATCCCGAACAACTGCGCTTGTGGAACGCAGCCACGCCCCGATCTGTGAGGTCGGGAGCGGAGGGAAACGAGGCCGAAAATCTTCCGTTTGGAGGAAACTGTACAGCATCCCTTGACATCCCAAATCAAAGGCTGTGGTCATGCGCCGGCCCTTCTCCTTGGAATACAGACATAGAGTATATATGTACATACCTGCATGCATACAGACAGTCAGACTGACTGACAGACCTGCCCGCACATGTAGTGCACCCGCCTGCCTACCTACCTACCCACCTACCTAGCTACCTGCCCTGCTTACCGACGAACGAACGACGCAATTCATTGCCAGTAGCAGGAATGCTTGCATTTATGAAAAGAAACTACGCACCATTGCACAGGAATGCAGTGGGCTTCTCAGTGGCTGCAGCAAGGGTGCCAGCTGTGCGGCTTCTAGTTGCACTGCTTTTCTGGCCTTGGGGTTCTCTGGGAATAATGCCACACCCCACATCACATTCTGCGATCCTGTACAGTTTGAGTGCAGCGGAGATGTCGGAAGTGCCGAGCTGCCAACTCTTTCAGCGATGATCTTTCCCACGGAATCTTCTGATGATTCAGATGAGTAAAGTAATCTGTCTGCTCATTTGCACTCGCACGGGCGGTGTGCAGAAGCACATTTCGCAGCTCCTTTTCAGGCCGGTGCTTAAGCCCGAAAGCGTGGGCGAAGGACCGACCGACCAATGGACGGAAGCGACCGAAACGACGAAAGTATCGACAAGATGAGATGCCAAGAACGAAGTCTTAAAATGTGTGCCTCCCTAGCAACCCTGGCACTAATCTCAGCTTTAAAGGGCATCCGAGAGCGCGGCTTCTCCAAAACACGAAGCGCTGCCAGGGCTGTTCCCCCCCCGTGTCGCCTCAGACACTGAGCCGGTCGGCCGGTCTGGGAGCTTGAAAGCGGAGGCGGAAAGAACGAGCCTTAGGATTGCCAGAAGCGCTTCGACGCCCTGGCGGAACGGCGGTGGGCACACGCGAAATGAGGGATGTGAAAGCAAGAAAAGGTGCCTTCAGTTGCGCAAACTCCTGGTGGACAGGGAGACACTCCTTGTCGTAGAGCAGAGCCAAAAGCCTGGCTCGAGATAAGGGTTTCAAGGAAATTTCAGGGGCTTGAAGCTCAGGTGACTCAGGTGAACGGAATGGAAGGAAATTCCCCTGCACCTGGAGACAGCCAACCACAAAACTGAACCCGGACCGCTCAAGAAAACTGAACGACAAGGTTCAAAACGGTAATCCTTCCTCCACCAGACTAGCTGCGCGACCATCAAAACGAGGAACAGAACGAGGAGTTCATGTTGCGACTGCACCCTCGAGCGACACTGTGGTTTTGAATGCAAATCAAAGTATCTGCTCATACGTCCCTTTCGGTGGACAAAGCAATGCGCTCGAAGCAATTTGCTCGTACAGGATCACAGAGAGGGTCCAAGGGTTGAGGCTCTTTCAACTGATAGCTGGATGAGTTTTGAAGGTTTGCAGTTGGGTTGTTGAAACAGTGTACCGACGGCCAAGCACTTCATCCACTGGCACGTTCGTGCAGCAAGCAGACAAGCAAGCCTGATGCCCCAAGCCAAAGAAGGCGGGCTTACCGGTCAACCGTACTCTCTACACCAACTCATTCGAGTGCGTATGCACATCGCGGTGATCTGGCTAGTTTACTTGCCAAGATCTGGCTCGTCTTGCTTCACCGCATCACTCGCAAGCTAGCCAGCATAAGACCACAGCCATAGCGTTGGTTGCTCTCCAATGCGTTTTGCAGCTGTGGAGTCTTGAACATGGTTGCTGGGCTAAACTGCCGTTCTAGAAAAGGCCATATATGAAAGACTACGCAAAAAAATACAAGTACCCCCTGAGTACCCCTGAGTAACTTAGTAACTCCACCAAGACTTCAGGGATGGGATTCAACACGGAAACTTCTTCAACTCTGAAGTCTCCTAGAAACGATAGCACTGATAGCACGCCGAGCAGACCCATGGCAGATTCTCTGCACGTGCTCTGCGCTCCCCGCATTGATCGCAAGGGCAGAGAGGGCGTTGCCTCCGACGTGACGAAAGCGGAACTCATCGGCCCTGGTGCTGCCATGTGCCACGTTATGCCGTTGGGGGCTGGCCTAGAGTGGCTGCCCCAGGTGGTGTCGCTGCTGCGCCCTGCAGGCCCTGCACCGCCGCAACTGCCACCTCGAGTCGTCGAGACTGCAAAATCATCTCGCTTGTTTGAAGCATAGCCTGTGGCAGGGCAGCCGCCGTCCGGCGGATGGGGGAATCCGGGAGACCGCTCAGCGCATTCTTCCTTTGCAAAGCTGACATGCGCGTTTCATTAGCGCAGCCTCATAGCCGCATGCGCATCCAAGCGGCTTTCGACGCAGCTGGTCGGCGGCCCAATCCCGATCCTGGCTTACGGCGCATGTCTTGGTTCTCACCCGAATGTGGGATCTGCGACGCCCTCCGACGAAGCTTCTCTGTGATTTTTTTCTCCTAATCCACCTCCGACGGAACAGCAGATGAGCTGCGTGGCTCTTCTTAACTACGCTCGACGAAAGCGTGAGGGGCTTGGCCATCTCGGTGTCATGGCTGTAGTTCATCAGGGGAAGGCCGGCCGGTAGCCCCGCGTTGGCACTACCTAGTCCTACCCCTGGGAAGCTGCCCAGCCCAGCATTTCTTTCAGAGCCCACATGCTCATTCAGCCATTAGGATATGCCTGCAGGTCACTGTGAGGCAGGAAAATCTCGCGGCTGTTTGCATGCGGTGCCACTCATTTTTCCCCACTGCATAATCGCATAATCATGATGGCACTGAGACTTGCGGGACCAGGCCGGCTAGGCGATCCAACCATGTTGCATGGCCTCAGTGTGTGGTGGTTGCAATCACCACGAAAATGAGCTACCTACAAGCTCAAGAAAGCTCAAGTGGGCGAAAAGAGCCCACATCGTTGGTAATCGGCCATCCGGCACGAACTCTATCGAGCCGTCATTTCTCGCCTTAACTTTGAGGGCGGCGAAGGTACCGCATATGCTAGACGGTCAGGCGATGTCAGACGTATAGCAACTTTACTCACTCGCCAGCTGCTCGTAGCCCTGCCACATCAGTGCGGCGGCGAGGCGGCTGAAAACCCAGCGGAAGCATGGCCACGCACCTTCTCAGCTTCCATGACCATGGCTTCCTCGGCACCCACCACCGCCTCCCTGCAACGAGGGGATCGCCAATGCGACACAGACATAAGGTGCACAGACCAAAGCGGCCTGGCTGCCGCTTTGCCTGCCACAAAGACGATGTCGTGTCACATGCGAGGGCAGAGAACTCAACATGCTTCAAGACTTCAAGAGCCTGCTGGTCCGGCCAGGATGACTGCAGCCACTGAAGTCAAGAGAACACCACCAGCAAGACGAATGAAAAGCGCCTGCGAGGTACCAGGCAGGGTCAACCAGTAGGCCTAGCAGCTTTAATCCATGCCTGACTCAAGGGAAATGTCGTCAGCACAAGGGCCATGTTCAGGGCCTCAGTCGGTGAAAGGCCGCTGGTGCCTAGCCGAGAGACACAGAAAGGTTCAGTCAAGATGCCATAATGACCAGCAGGACCCGACCATTCAAAGGATGCGCCAGGTGTCGAATCTTTCCCACCTTCACTTTGGCAGCACGATCTCGTCACAATTCAACCGTACATGGAATTATGGGATGGTGACGGTGTCCTGCCTGAAGCCCCAAATACTTTGACCAGCCCTGGAAAGCCTGGCGTCAGAGAGCATCTGCATTCGCAGCCTGTGAAGCCCGGAGCCCCGCCTGCAACAGCATGCAGCCCACGACCACGTATCCAATCAATGCATGTGCTGTCCTCGATGCTGTGGCAGGATTGCTAGACATTCGATTGCGTTCGACGGCATAAGGTAACTGCTTCGCTGGAGGGTTGCCGGGGTCGAAACCAAACTGCGAACCGCCTGTCGGAATCGGTCACAAGGTCTGGCTTCCAACGCCTTCAAAAAGCAGGTCCCGCCCATCAGCTGATGATTTCTGAAGATGCAGCAATAGCCAACCTCAATTTCTCGTCACTCGGCTGCGCCACGAGTTCGAGAAGCCAAGACAAGCGCATGAATTCTCGGCGGCTGACCACAGCGGCAAGCACAGCACAGGTCTGGATTGCGGCATGCATCGCCCGGAGGCTGTCTCTGCTCCTCAGACTTACATGCGGGTACGACCAAAGTCAACATTGGGCAATTACTGGCGATTATCCATCTTCAGCTGCCGACTTGCTCACTGGCAGCACATAGATCACCTCTGTCTGTCTCTGTGCGATGCAGCACGTGCAAAGCCTATCCATACCTATCCCCTGAGATCGGCACCGAGCCGCTGGTCATCAGGCACCAGCAAACGAGCATGGCCGCAATATGGCCGAAGAAGAGAACCGGCATTGCCGTAAACCTCAACGCCGGGGTGCTTGCTGCCCGTTCTTCTCGCTGCACGACACAAAGGCCATGGGTTACCAAGCGACTGGGCGGCACAGTCAATGCACAATGCGACAGCGAGCCCAACCACTCCAAAAGCCCAAATCGCCATGGCCATTAGCTCGTCGATCCCTTGTTGGTCACAGGTCTCGGTGCAGAGGTCGCACAGACTCTCGTGGCTCTAGTTAAGCATCCACGTTGTTGGAAGATCCATGGAACTTAATGATTGGTTGGCAGTGAAGCATGCCATGTCGATCCATGTCGTGAAGACAAGCTTGGGCAGCGGCCGACACACGTGCACGGCTCGAACAAATCTCAGGGTCTCTCGAAGCTTGCTCAGCGACTCGGGGCCGGGAGACTGCCGAACACCTTCTCGTCACTGATGCTAGGCTGCTAGTCAATGGGCGTATTGCGCCCGAAACTGACGAAACGGATAGCTCCTCACATCCGGGCATCGGAGCCTCACATCCCTCTGCTCAAAGCTCCAAGAGCACCTGGGTGAGCTCCAAGCCGCGGCCACAGGCGAGTGGTAAACTCTGCTGCGTTGTCCTACAGCAAGCTGCTCCAGAGCACGTGTCCCGACTGCTTCTGCATGCTTCACCATTCACTCCGCCCCCTGCACCCCCCGCACCGCTGGGAGCCATGATTCCGCCAGGCAATCCCGCACTCAAGTGGGGAAGAGAGTTCCCGGCACTCAAGACCACCCAGTACCGCGCTCCGCTTTTGTTTGAGGAAGACGGGGGCACAGAGGTCACATACCAGCTTCTGTGACCAGTCCACTGCCGAAATGGATCGAAGGGGCCATCTTCTGAACGCTGGCAATGCTTCGAGTCTTGGGCCTAAAGGTCCGTCATGGTTTCCGTCAACTCGCAGATTAGATTGAGCAGGCACGCGCACAGCCCCGCTCCCGTGCTTCGGCTTTGCTCGTGAAACATCGGAGGACGTGACGAGACAGGGTGCATCACGAAAGTGATCGGTCACCCAGCGACGATCTCCTCTGTACTACGACAGCTCGAATTCAGGGATGGCTATTCGCCTTGCTCCCTTCGCGAAATCTACGTGTCGTAGCCTTCACCCTGAATGAAACCCACAAGCTCCTGCAAGTGCAACATGGTTCATGAGCTGATGGCGCAGACATTACCAAATCGATACTGCGCTGACGCAACACTTGGTGGCTCAGGGGTAATGACTACCCTAGCTGGACTGCCGTGTCAAAGCGCTTGTCGATCCGGGCACATAAGATAAGGGAGATTGCTCCTTCAAAGAGAGGCTATTCGTACTCGAATGATCCTTCTTGTACTCCCTCCACGCCGGCCTCGATGTCCACTGCTCCAGAGAAGTCTGTATCCATGATCGCACAGAAAGACTGGATCTGATAGTCTGGGACTACAGTGGGCGGAATCCTGAGATCTCCAGTCAAGATGCACAAATTTCGACACCTGACAGTTGCATTAACTTGCGCCTTCCGGAGACATTCAAGAGCTCTTGGGCTCTCGATGGCTCTCGGGAGGATTGGGGCGACTAAGGCAGGCAAAGGAGCCTTAGGACGCGTCGGAGGGCGGCCTTCACCTCATCAATCTCCAGCTCGCCGCTGCGGTCCTTCCATGCGGAGCGCGGAGCACTGACGGCACAGAATCGCAGCTGCCAGCGCATCCTTGTCTAATCGCCGGAAGAGAAGCGCGAGATCGACGCCACTCCATCCAGCATACCTAGAAGAAAGCATAACAAAACCCTGGAAACCTTCGGCTTCTTCGCAGCACACAACTCCAAGACACGAGTGCAGTCGAAACACGACACTGGGTGTAAGACTGACAAATGCTTCCCAAGCTGCGCAGCTCGAAGAATGCAGTTTTTGATCTTCTTCACTGTCTGGCGACGGACGCATGTCTCCAGCATGCATGTACGGCGCACTCAAAGGCAGGCTTTGGTGTCCAGTGTTGGCGGTGTTGGCAAGCCACGCTTCTTGCGCTCCTCATAGCGCACATCAGCCTCTAGCCTGTGCCACTGCTAGAGCCTGCAGCACAAACAAACAGAGTCCGGGCTGAATGAGCCCAGCAGGGTCCTCTGCGACAACGTGGGCCAGACGTGCCTGGCAGCCGACAACAATGCACTACCGTCGTGTTATTGATCAGATCACCTACAGAAGAACATCTTGGGGGGACTCTGTTTGGAATCACAAGTTGAGTTCGGTAGCAAAGCGTGTTTGTCGAGTTTGTACAGCCTGCTGCACGGTGAATTGTCGTGTTTTTCTGCAAAATCGTCTTGTCAGTTTCGCAACACAAGCGGCGCACCTTCATCTGAGCCCGTTGCCGCTTCAGCTCTGCGACCTTCGCAGTTCCATGTATCAAGCGCAGCAGACAGCAATGTGTGGAGGCTCCTGTTGACGCAGAGCATTGATCTCTTCCTGCTCCCTTGCTGCATCCTGACCAAGACAACACTTGTTGTCTCGACTGTCCGACATGTACATGCTGCTCACAGGGTTTACGAGACGGAAGGCCTGATGTAACCTAGCAAAATGCTTCATTCTGTTCCAAAGCTCAGCAAGAGGGCATTATGCCAGCGCAGATCCCCAAATAGTGAACAGTCCAAGACCCCATTTCGAAAGCACCGCTGAGAATCCAAAATGCGTACCACACTGCGGCAGGTCCAGTTGCCAACCTACATCACTACGGTTGTTCAGGCTCATGGACACTATCATCCGAGCTCAAGAGGTTTCACAAAAACCGCTGCCCTGCGAGGGCTCTGCTCCCGGACTTGTGTTGGGAGTCGCATGACACGACGGGACCTCCAGCGAGTTGATGCCGCAGCGGTCGAAGGTCTCCTGCGAGCGCAAAGGTTCCCTGGTATCGAAAAAGATTCCAGATTCTCGAAGCACAAAAATGTGTTTTTTGGAAGGCAGGTTTGGATAGGTTTGGTGTAAAGAATTTGGCGCTGGCTGAGTAGCTGTTCGCCTTGCACGAACTCGAAAGGTACGCGCCCGGTCCTGCTCCAAGAGCCACCTAATTGCAGCAATGCGCCAGACAACAGAAAGATGCAGACGAAAAACGAGTGGCAGGACTGTGCACATGCCCACACATCTCTCTGGCTGCGACCTCAGCATGAATCGCTCCGGATCTCGAGGACATTCCTTCAGGAGGCTCATGACCATCTCCTGGCCAAGGTTTTTCCCAGCAAGCAGTCTCCATGAGTTAAGTACGTAGACTTTCTTTTTCTGGCTGATGCGGCCTGAAGCACTGGGTTCACGTACTCCTGCAGGAGGAAATCTGTCACCGAAACCAGTGCAAACGGATGCTCAAGCCGAGAAAGTAACTCCTCAATGTACCGCCTCATGGTTTCAATGACGTTAGCATGTGTCAAGCCGCACATGCCTAGGGCCTAGCAAGAGATATCCGCTCGAAACACCGCTCTGTCAGCAACTGCAGCTCGGTCGCATCTTCGCTGCCGACGTATCCGCTTCCGGGGGCCGACGGCTAGGCATGGCGGAGGCGCCACTTTGGCAACCAAGGGCCTACGGCCTAAAGGCTTTACATCGAACGAAACGCTATTAAACACTTCAACAAGGATGTTTACTGCCAAACCCTTCAGATACTCCTGGCATGCAACATGTTCTCTGGAACCTGGCTTCAAGCGCTTTCCAGCAGCGGCTCTGCCACATGCAACCTGGTGCAAGCCTGCAGCCAAGACTACCTGTTCAGGCAGCTGAGCCATGTCCACAGCTCATGGCCTCCCTGTCACCTACTACGAGCCAATTGATTTACAAAGTGGCCCATCCAAACACGCCCCGCCACCTAATCCGCTCGGACTGCATCCACAGCACCGGGCTGACACAGGAGAAACGGACCGTCACGGACCTGTCAGGCCCTCAGACTGCTGTGCAACGACTATGAAACAGCTGAGGGTGCACTAAGAAGCAACTAAATCCAGTCAAAATCATGTTGCCGCTTCACCGACATCGTCCTGGTCGGAATCTTCCTGGAAACCATAAACGGCCGCTGCTACTAGAACTCACACTGCTTTGCTGCAACTGCTCGTGACGTAATGCACTTCATCGGCGCTGCTGGGCTGAATTGCATAAGCAACCCAACCTCTTCCTCGTCGTCCTTCCGTGCTTAGCAGGGAAAGGTCCCCCCAAGAACTCGGGATGTCAATGCCTCGAGGTCGAGGTCTTCTTCAGACTCCAGGTCCAACAGCTCATCATCTAACAACATCTCCTGGACGGATGGCCGAAGATGACCGAAGGAGAATGCAAACCATGAGCACGTAGATCGCCTCTTCATCACCTTCCTCCTCAAAACAAATGTCTGGAAATTCTTCTTCACCCTCCTGCGCCAGGTGAAGGCATGCAGGATCAGCATAGCAGCTTGTGACAACTGCAACCCGTTCCAGTCCTCCATGAAGGCGAGGCTGTCTTCAAGCTCGTTTTCCTGCACAGAGCATGGAAGCCTTCAAGAGAGCAAGAGCGCCTGCAGAAGTGGCTCCAACGGCCTTCATCGGAGTCGTTTCGGGCTTCGCTTCGACGCTTTCTGCGGCGGATGCTCCCGTGTCCAGCGCCGCCTTGGCTTCGGCCTTGGCTTCCGCCTTGGCCTTTCCCTTGGCTTTGGGAGTTGGGGGCTCCTCCATGGAACAGAAGAGTCAGAACCATCCCTGCGAGGCTCACCCATATGTCAGCAAACTGTCATTCCCAACAGTGCCGGAGGCAATGAAGTCCTTGGCTTTCGCTTTCGCTTTGGGCTGTTCACCCTCGAGGATGCGGCAAGCACAGAACTGCGGCGCAGAGGAACAAAAAATAGCCTTGGCTTTCTTCTTGGCGCTGGCGGCTTCCTCCTGCAAGGGCAGGAGCTTCAAAGCTGTGAAGATCGAAGAGGGCAGGAGCGGCAGCGCCTTTGGAGCAGCTCTCTTGCCTGGCACAGAAGCTGCGATCCGATCACTCCCCACACATGTGGTTCACCCCTTCCATCAAGCTGTTCCGATTCGTTGCCATGCGCCCCAACACCCAGCAAGCTGTGGACTTCACGAGCTGCAGGGTGACAGGGGCGAATCTTCCACAACAGCGGAAGATCACTACAAACTCGGGCCCTCCAACCATGACAGGGGCCACCCATGCCGCCGTTGACTGGAGGCTCAAGGCCGGCTCTCAGTGGGCCAAAGAAGGCAAGAAAAAGAGTAGCTTGAGTTGTCAAATTCTCTTGGCATCTCTGCAATCAAGGGTTTCTCCATGGACTTCGCTAGGAACAGGCAGTTGGGTACCGCCAGTCTGAAGCTGTCTTAACGTTGTTCGAGCCGTCGCCTCGTTCGAGCCGAGACAATCGAAGTTCAGACATGCTCAGACACGAGCAGGACAGTGGAACCATGTGGAACCTATGAGAGCTAAGCGAGCACACGCAACTTGCACGACACGAACTCTTTTCTTGCCACGGGGACGGGAAAGCTCATGTCCTGCCAGCGCTGAGGCCGCTAAGGAAGTGACTCAAGATGAACTTTGACCTCAAGTCAAGGCCTGAACTCCCTGAAGACGAAGTAGGCGCGTCTCAGGGCCTGCAAGGAGAGTGAAGCTTGGGGATGCTCGAAGCGTCCGAGGGCCTAGGGCCTAGGCTCAGGCGCCTCCTTCACTTCCTCGATGCTTCGCAGGCCACTGATCGACACCTGCTTGGAGGGGCTCGGGAGGATTTTTGAGAATCCAGGAGCACCCTGTTGCCCCGAAGCTACTCGAACTACTCCGGCAGTACGGCTTTTTTTCGAGACGTCGCTTCTCCAGAGTTTCTGCTATCGTGTGTAGCCTGAAAAAAGCGGGCGAGACAAAAGAGTTTTCGTCACCTGGCAGTGCAGTCTTGGCAGGACGGATCATACTGCCAGACTGTCTGGCCTTCGTACTTACAATGGTCGGCACAACCAGCCTTTCCCAGCTGCAAGAGAGCAGGGCGAGTGCACCCTTGACAGGATGGATCGTACTGCCAAACCTCCACACCCTCGTACTTGCAATGATCTGCACACCCAGACACATCGTCCCTAGCTGTGCTGGAAGACTTTGTTTCAAGCACCATTTGCTGCATAAGAGCTGGAGAACATCCAGTGCAGTCCGGGTCGTACTGCCAGGTGGCGCTGCCTTCATACTGGCAATGAGAAGCACAGTGCGGGCCGGCCGTAACAGCAGCATCGCCAGGGAAAGAAGCGACGGTGCAGGTTTTGCAGTCTGGGTCGTACTGCCACACCGCTGCACCCTCGTATTGGCAGTACTGAGCACAGCCACTCGCTGCACCTGATTTCAAGTCGTCCTTGGTCTCCTTTGTCTGCAAAAGCATTGACTGCACCAAGGATGCGGAGCAGTCGCCACATTCGGGATCGTGCGCCCAAATGGCCGTGCCCTCATACTGGCAGTGTGGGGCGCAAGACGCACCTGCAGTGGCCGGATGTGCCTGAGTCATGGTGCAGTCCTTGCAGCTTGGATCGTACTGCCACGTGGCTGCTCCCTCGTACTGGCAGTGGCTTTCGCACCCAGTCGACTCACTCGATTTCTTCTCCTGCTGCGTCTGCAGAAGCATCGTCTGAACCAAAGCTGCAGAGCATCCGGTGCAGTCCGGGTCGTACTGCCAGGTGGCACTGCCTTCATACTGGCA